CAAAAAAGTTTAGAACATTTTTAATTCTGACTCCAACTAGCTTTCATATTTATTTTATTTGTGAACACTTAAACTGATGTTGTTAGGACCAGAGCTCGAGTGAAGAAAGGCATATGTATACTATATTACATGTACCATAACGATTAAGGGGAAGCAACTCAATTTCAAGTCTGAAATGATTCTTAATAAATTACCTTTCTTGATAGCATGTTAACTTTTATTTGACCATATTTGAGACAGCGGTCTGATGACAGGAGTTCTACAACACAAATATAGAATATAAAATTTGTATTAGAATTGTGTTGGTCATATCTAAAAAAATATATATATACATGTATATCGTTTTAATTGGCAAATTCGATCCCATCTCCGCATATCTTTAAATGTAAAGTAAAAAAAAAACATGAAAAGACGCTAATTTATAAGCGAAAGAATGATGTACATGTAGTCTTCTTCGTTATCATCTCGTTATACTACAAATATAAGGTACCGTTATTCACATTTAATTATTGTATGTCTGTTTTTCATTCGTTATTTGTCGAACTATCATTGCTTGCGTTTAAGTGTTCGCTTGTATCCACATGATTTGCTTTCATGTCGGCGGTGTGATTTTTAGATGACTTCCTCTAATCTATATACATGGCACAATATAATACAACATAAAATATATCATAAGAACATGTATACATATAGCCATTCTATACAGAATTACAAGAGACTACAAATGTACAAAGCACATAAAAATATATTGCATTTTATAACAAACAAATACATGTATCTTATGACAAAGACATAAATTTACTATTTTATATTGCCTTAAATCATTTGGTAAACATCCAGTAATTGCCTCATTGGTTTGAGATGAGATGCTGTATAAAGTTTTTGTTGACGCCGACGAATGTCGGGCAGAGGGGATCGATCACAATAGTCCAATAAGCACGTTGTGCTAATATGATAATATTACGGTATGGCACGGTATATACTAATGTATTACGAGTTGCAACAAATCATTTAGAAAATAAAAAATATACAAACTAAGTAATTAGTGAGATTAAAATATTGAAATTATTCAAGAAACCTTCAAAATTAAATTTTCATTAAGTTTTACTGTAAATAGTACATTTTCTAACGATTGAAGTTTTAAAAAATGATAGAATGGACGAAACTAGATTAAATTAAAAGGCCATTAAAGCCTGGAAAAGTTAATATATTCATTTTTCAAAAACATTTTTTGTGCACATTACTCATTGACCAGAAATAAAGCTATGCCATCTTTCGCTTGCTTTGTGCTCTAGTAATCAGTGAAGAAATTATTATTTAGTATTTTGTATTAAAGTTCAAATACTAACTTTGTTTATATTTTGCTACTTTTATCACAAAATGTGTCACATTCAGTTTTTTCATGTGACAAGTATCTCACATGTTCTTAATTCAATATTAAAAGATAATAAGATAAAGTACATAAAAATAGGCTAAACGGCCCATCATATATGCATCAGAAATGCCAGCATTTTTATTTCTCATCAACGTTTTATTTTTAGTTACTTGTTACAGTTTCCAGTTATCCTGCAATGATTAAATAGAACATAGCAACCTCCAAAATAAGGACCACTTGTCTATGAAGGTCATGTTTGGTCTTTCCTTTGAGTGACCTTTGTTAACAAGATTTGAATGTATTGAGATTCTAGTTACTGGAATTTACAGCTCATAACAACATATTAACAATATAGTTCATATTCTGACGACATTTTAAATACGACATTCATTTATTTAGTGAACAGACAAACTGCAACCATTTGATAAAACATGACTGAATATAGAACAGAAAGTGATAACATGTGTCTGAATATAGAACAAAAAGTGATAACATGTGGCTGAATATAGAACAGAAAGTGATAACACGTGGCTTAATATATAACAGAAAGTGACAACACGTGGCTGAATGTAGAACAGAAAGTGATAACACGTGGCTGAATATAGAACAGAAAGTGATAACACCTTGTTTAATATAGTGCATAAAGTGATAACACGTTGCTGAGTGTAGAACAAAAAAGTGATAACAAAAAAATGAATATAGAACAAAAAGTGAAAACATGTGGCTGAATGAAGAACAAAAGTGATAACTTGTGGCTGAATATAGAACAAAAAGTGATAACACGTGTCTGAATATAGAACAGAAAGTGATAACACGTGGCTGAATGTAGAACAGAAAGTGATAACACGTACGTGGCTGAATGTAGAACAAAAAGTGATAACATGTGGCTGAATATAGAACAAAAAGTGATAACATGTGGCTGAATATAGAACAAAAGTGATAACACGTGGCTGAATATATGACAGAAGGTGACAACATGTGGCTGAATGTAGAACAAAAAGTGATAACACGTGACTGAATGAAGAACAAAAAGTAATAACACATGACTGAATATAGAACAGAAAGTGATAACATGTGGCTAAATATAGAACAAAAAGTGATAACACGTGGCTGAATAAAGAAAAAAAGTGATAACACGTTAATGAATAGTGATAACACGTGGCTGAATATAGAACAGAAAGTGATAACACGTGGCTGAATATAGAACAAAAAGTAATAGCATGTAGAATGATATAGGAGAAAGAGTGATCACACGTGGATTAATATAATCTCTTTATCCCTCGGTTGATGGTACACACATTAAAACCACTAGGCCGTCTCCTAGAGTAATGTCAAACCCACCACCTGGGACGGCATGAGCGTATTTCTCGGACGGGACACACAGACTTTATCTAATTCAAGAAAAGATAACCCCGTATCTGAAATAAATTAGATTATAATGTCAACGCAAATAAGTCAAATTGATCTCCAGATTTTAAAGAAAAAAGTTTATCAGGCAGCCAGAGATGGACGGGCTATTAGCATTTTTGCCATGCTGTGGAATTTGGACAGGGAGAGTATTGTTAAGGAGGTAATAATCTCACATTACTGAACCACTTTTCGGATAAGTACTAATCAGCTAATAATTTGACCAAAACCCGAAAAAAACCCACACAAACAAACAACAGAAGACAAATGATTTGGATGTGTGTGTTTTTTTTAATGTGAGTAAAAATATTATTTGTACGTTATATTATATCAATCAGTATTACAAAGAGGTACGTTGTTGCCATATCATTGCATATCATTATATCCTCGAGTGACCAGTTTCGACGCCCTTAACTTCTTAAGGATTGTTTTGTATGCGTCAATAAGAAACATGTGATTGTATTGTTTAAAATGTTTTAACTTTTTATTTGAAAAAATCTCTATCCTTTATGAAATGGGTAAATTAAGCTGTTGTCCAGCTATTCCTTTTCATGAACAATCATCCAGGAGCGGTCATTTTTATTGAGAGTGCCCTAAAACGATGCCATTGATTGGCTAATTTAATTACACACTACAGGAGACTGTACACCATAATACATTTACTTACGTTGTTCACCAATATCAAGAGCATAGACCTGCAAAGTATCAACATTGAACAAGTGAAAAAATAGTTTATCTATTCTTTATTTCTTTCATAAATAAACAGATAAAGCATAATTATATGTGGTAAATGCTATTGTTGTATTTTTTACAGTGGTTTGGATGGTTGCCCTAGTCTGTTTGACCTCCTTTGCTGAAAAATATACCTTGGAAAATAGCACCTTTACTTTCTTTGTCGAACCTGCAAAAACAAAATAATACCTGTAGTGGAGCAACTAATTAGAATATGGCAATTCATTCCATCCAAATAAGATAAACATATCCAATTAATTTTCAATTAACATTCATTCATCGATTAATAACCGTAAAAAAATCTACAACATGTACAGGTTGCTTTAAGGTGAAAAAATGCTCCCAAAACAACACTATATTGAGTAATTTTACTGCCACATGACCTGAGAATAAGGAAATGAGGTCAGCAGACAGGGAGATATTGTTACGCTCCTGCGCTTGGTAGTGTGAGCCTTAAACTGTTCTAGATGTCAGCTGCTCCCTGCTGGCCAGATATATTTGAGGTCTATCTGTCTATTCCCTGTCTGTTTGACACCTCCTCTGTAGACTGCAATTCTATGCTGCCCTGTACTGTTTGTTAGTCTGCTCACCGTGAGGTCATGCACCTTATTCTGCTGTAGTATGCCGCAGCTATCCGTTTTGACTGCTCTCCGTGACCAACTTTAACAGCAACTATCTTTTCTGGCTGCTCTCCGTGATTTCATGTCGTCTGCTTCTGATAGTTGACTGGCCACCGAGCACGCACAAAGTTTGAACTTCAACGTTAAAATAATTAAGGAGGGAAAAATTACAAATACTTTTAAAGTTTCTAAAGTTTATTAAACAGCTTAAATATAAATTAAGTGTAAGTTATTATGTCACAAAAAATCGTTGTGTTACATACACATACAGTTTTAAAGTTACAATCTAAAATTCCCTCGCTAAAGTTTCTAATCAAAATAGAAAACTTGAACTTCACAAAAATAGATGTCAAATTCCTTAATAAAATCGTTAAATCCCAAAATAAACTAATAAAATCGTTGTGCACCAGAATAATTTCGAATAGATCTAAATGCCAAAGTATTGAGAATTTTAAAGAAAAGGCCAAAACGGTGCACAAAGTAAATTTTGGATGTTGAAGCTCCTGACTGAAGGAAAGCTGGCTATTTATATGCCACAGTCCCCACACATTCCACCACTTTGTGGAAAGGACGCTCCACAGCTATTTTTGTGGGCTCCACAGTTTTTCTCGTGGAAAGACGCCCCACAGATTTTCTTGTGGGAGGAACGCTCCACAGCTTTTTCTGTGGGCTCCACAATAATTTTGTGGGATATCTTCTGCGCCAAAAATAGGCACCTAATCAACAAAAATATATGCATCAAAACTTACAATAAGAATAATCACATTAAAATATTACATTTTCTAAGTAACAATATAAGTTAACAAATTATGGGATAAAGAACTATCCCTTGCATTCACTAGTGCCTACGTAATATATTTAGCAGTAAGACGTAATAGTCCAACATGGCCGACAAGGAAAAGTGCATTTCAAATAATCATAAATAAACAGTGTTAACAATTATATTCAGATGGATTTATAACGCAGATTTACATATTAAATGAGACTGCATCATAAACAATCAAACTTTAACATCTTGAGTGTGAAATAAAGGAATTAACTATTATGACAGAAGTCACGAAAACAGATTATAAACACAGGATTCTACCATGGATAACATTTAGGGAAAATCTTCCAGAATCAGGAAGGATTAAATTGCTGGCACAATACGTAGATTTACGTTGATGTCCTGTATGTTTCATTAGGACACCACAGAATTTACTGTGTTGTCGCCAGTAAAAGCTTCACAAAATGAAAGTGAAAGTAGAAATAAACAAGACTGAAATCCAGTGAAATCACAAAAGGTAAAATTTCTAGGGCATTACATTACCCCCCGGTTTTCCATGGCAAAACTCCTGTTGCCATATATACATTTTTCACATATGACAATAAATATTTTAAAAGTTAATTAATTACATTAATGCCAACATTGATGAGTACTTTAAAATGTAAATTCAACAGATGCCTAATGCACAGAAATTTTACAGACTTTCTCAAACATTAACAAATTAGTTTGACTTAAGGTCTTAACAATTAAGCATGCATTTTATATTTTAATAATAAATTTTGTAACCACATATGTTCGTCAACTGTCTTCTCATTCTGTTCATCGATAGTTTGCTCATCTTGCTCATAGATTGCCTGCTCATCCTGCTCAAAGATCGTCTGCTCATCCTGCTCATAGATCATCTGCTCATTGATTGTCTGCTCATCAGTGATTGTCTGCTCATCCTGCTCATCAATGACTGTCTGCACATCCTGCTCGTCAATGATTGTCTGCTCATACTGCTTGTCAATGATTGTCTGCTCATCTTGCTCATCAATGATTGCCTGCTCATCTTGCTTGTCAATGATTATCTGCTCATCCTGCTTGTCAATGATTGTCTGCTCATCTTGCTCGTCAATGATTGTCTGCTCATCTGGCTCGTAGATGTTAGAAACTGCTTGCCCCCTGGATCAAAGGTGATATTTTCTAATTTCACACTGCAAAGTTTTTTCTTACTAGCCATGCAATGTTGCTGATTTTGGTGGACCACTTTAAGGAAGCCAAAGGCTTGCTTCCTATGTAGGCAACTACGTAACCTCATGTAATAAATCCTGTGTATCAAAGAGGATTTCCTCCAAAACCACATCACTTTAGAAGTTGGTTTTATCTTAATGCATGCTCTAGGTTTATTGACTTTGTCATCAGCAAGCGTTATATGCCTTAAAGTGCACTCGGTGGCATTCACCAAAGCTGATGCCTCCTTCTCATCCCAGTGCTCAAAGCCAGCCACATATACAGTTTGCATTGCCCCTACAATGCTCACCTCTGAACACTTTCCAAGTGTAAGTTCCCCAACTGATTGGATATCACAAACCAACCTTACATTCAAGGTAGGTGCCTCAATGGGACTTGAACTTGAACACACAGCATTCCTCATATTCACTGCTTGAGTGACTCCCCCTTGGCTACAAGGTTCATCACATGGATCTGCTAGCCTCCTGTCACCCGGATGAGTATCTAATTTATGTTTGCTAACATCACCTAAAACTGCTAAATTAGCAAATACACTAACAGAACCAGAAACTGATAGTCTATGCTTTCCACATGAATCTTTGGTCTGATAACATGGTATCTTGGTACCACCTAGTACCATTATACCTCTACTAAGCAGTAATTCAGCAGGACCCAACTGATCAGCAACTAGGATGTCTCGGCCGAGGATTCCGTCCTCTTCAATATCTGCAATAGCTATGTTCCTAACCATTTTCAGTTTCCCCAACTGAATACTAAGTCTCTGTATGTTTTTGTTTCCAACCAGAGAGTCCCTGACTCTACTTGGACAACAAATACTTTCCGATTGTAAGCACTCATCATGACTTAATCTCCCGTACACCCTTGATGAAAGTATAGTCTGTGATGCCCCAGTGCTCACCGTAAATACCAATGGTTCTTCGTTGACATAGCTATTCATGCCGCCCTCAGATCCTAATGCTGATGATTTCCTGCCAGTTGTTCTGCATCCCTTTACATCTTGCACATCTGATAAGTTTTCTTTGGCCTGTCTACATTGATTTAGTTGGACCTCTCTTTGGCCCCAAGAGCTGGTCCGATTAAGTTTAAAGGCTCCTGTTTGTCATTATCTGTAATATCGACATGCCTTATGTCATTAGGTCGCTTTTTCTGACAATTCCTTGCAAAGTGACCAATTTCATGACAGCTGAAGCATTCAACTTCTCTTTTACCTGACCATTTGCTTGATTCCGTCTTCTCAATTCTACGGCCTTCTCTAGCTTAGATAGCCCTCTCGAGAATTTGGTGTAGAGCTTTCATCTCTTTGCTTTCCTCTTCACTTTTAACGCTTACGGCCCCTTCAGGTACCCTAAATATACCTTCACAATCTAATAGATCAGCATGTTCCTCCTCTTGGTACTCTTGTCTCAAATGTCTGTTTTGTCTGTCATCTCTTGAGGCATTTCTTGTTTGCATATAGTTTACCACATGAAATAACGCTTCGTCAATGTTGGAGGGCTCTTTGTGGTATTCTATCAAAAACTTCATCTCTTCGTCTCTGAGCCCATCAAGGAATCTTCTAACCAGATCCTCTTCCCTCGTCCTTCTATCCCTGTAGCCATGCGCCTTGTCGTACAACCTCTTCAGGTCCGCCGCATAATCTTCAACTGTTTCCCCGCTCCCTTGAGTTCTGTTGCTGAATTTAGCAGCAAAAGATCGTGCAGTTTCTATTCTCCTGTATCGGCTGTTGAGCTCTGCAGTCAGGTCATCATAGCTCTGTACGACAGCTGGGGGCAGTTGAGTGAATACAAATTCGCTCGCTGGACCCTCTATTCTAGGCAGAAGCTGGTCTAACCTCTCTTCTCGTCCCAAGCCATACCTGTAGGCAACAGCTTCGAAGCGGGCTATCCATGTCGCCCAGTCTTCTTTGCCTGTAAAAGAAGGAATTTTTACATTAAATGCATGACTATTATGACTATTGACATAAGGTCTTCTTACGTATGCCTGATCACAGTGATCACCATACCCATAGTCTATGGGTGCTCTCCTCGGGACATCATACCTTCTTCCTACCCCATAAGACACCCCTGCTTCTTGATCCGCACGGGATCCTCGTGCATCTTGTCGCTGCGAGCAGTCGTCAATACTTGCTTGCCTGTTAGGGGCCTGCTTCAGCTCTTGCAGTTCCTTGACCACATCTCGCAATACGCTTGTTACTCCATTCATCACAGCTGACATTTCTATTGCCGCATTCACATTGGTGTTCTCTTGCTCACTTTTCTTCATCTGTATTGAAACATCACTCAACACTGAAGCCACATCAGACATTTCGTCGGCCGTCTCAAAGTCAAGCGTCCTGGCCTGCACTCCTACTGTCTGCTGACCATCCTTGAAACTTATCACTCCCTCGCTGTCGACAGGTCTAGGGCTTTCCATGCTGTCGCTGTCTGATAGTGATGAATGAATCTCTCTGGTAGCACCAAGTACAGGTTCGAATCTCTGGATCTACCCTTGAAATCAGTAGATCCCACCGCTGCCACCATAAAATGTTACGCTCCTGCGCTTGGTAGTGTGAGCCTTAAACTGTTCTAGATGTCAACTGCTCCCTGCTGGCCAGATATATTTTTGAGGTCTATCTGTCTATTCCCTGTCTGTTTGACACCTCCTCTGTAGACTGCAATTCTATGCTGCCCTGTACTGTTTGTTAGTCTGCTCACCGTGAGGTCATGCACCTTATTCTGCTGTAGTATGCCCGCAGCTATCCGTTTTGACTGCTCTCCGTGACCAACTTTAACAGCAACTATCTTTTCTGGCTGCTCTCCGTGATTTCATGTCGTCTGCTTCTGATAGTTGACTGGCCACCGAGCACGCACAAAGTTTGAACTTCAACGTTAAAATAATTAAGGAGGGAAAAAATTACAAATACTTTTAAAGTTTCTAAAGTTTATTAAACAGCTTAAATATAAATTAAGTGTAAGTTATTATGTCACAAAAAATCGTTGTGTTACATACACATACAGTTTAAAGTTACAATCTAAAATTCCCTCGCTAAAGTTTCTAATCAAAATAAAACTTGAACTTCACAAAAATAGATGTCAAATTCCTTAATAAAATCGTTAAATCCCAAAATAAACTAATAAAATCGTTGTGCACCAGAATAATTTCGAATAGATCTAAATGCCAAAGTATTGAGAATTTTAAAAAAAAGGCCAAAACGGTGCACAAAGTAAATTTTGGATGTTGAAGCTCCTGACTGAAGGAAAGCTGGCTATTTATATGCCACAGTCCCCACACATTCCACCACTTTGTGGAAAGGACGCTCCACAGCTATTTTTGTGGGCTCCACAGTTTTTCTCGTGGAAAGACGCCCCACAGATTTTCTTGTGGGAGGAACGCTCCACAGCTTTTTCTGTGGGCTCCACAATAATTTTGTGGGATATCTTCTGCGCCAAAAATAGGCACCTAATCAACAAAATATATGCATCAAAACTTACAATAAGAATAATCACATTAAAATATTACATTTTCTAAGTAACAATATAAGTTAACAAATTATGGGATAAAGAACTATCCCTTGCATTCACTAGTGCCTACGTAATATATTTAGCAGTAGACGTAATAGTCCAACATGGCCGACAAGGAAAAGTGCATTTCAAATAATCATAAATAAACAGTGTTAACAATTATATTCAGATGGATTTATAACGCAGATTTACATATTAAATGAGACTGCATCATAAACAATCAAACTTTAACATCTTGAGTGTGAAATAAAGGAATTAACTATTATGACAGAAGTCACGAAAACAGATTATAAACACAGGATTCTACCATGGATAACATTTAGGGAAAATCTTCCAGAATCAGGAAGGATTAAATTGCTGGCACAATACGTAGATTTACGTTGATGTCCTGTATGTTTCATTAGGACACCACAGAATTTACTGTGTTGTCGCCAGTAAAAGCTTCACAAAATGAAAGTGAAAGTAGAAATAAACAAGACTGAAATCCAGTGAAATCACAAAAGGTAAAATTTCTAGGGCATTACAATATTTTCCATCCGATTTTTTCAAGGAAAACATGACATAGTAAAGTGAGGGTCAAAATTGCTTCAGTGAAATCATACAAAAATCTCTTAAATAAGGTATAAAAAATGCTTAGTCTTACCTTTGGGTGTCTTAATTACTACGTATTTTTATCTAACCAACTAGAGGAATCCCCTTTAGGCTATAGCGTAGTACAGTAATGATGTAAGCGGCCTCTTGTATCAATTATGAGGCAAAATATAAATCATAAAATGGTGTCGAAATAGAGCAGCGTAAAAACGGGTCACTCGACGATAATGTTATATTAAACTGAAAGAAAAAGTAAAACAAAATCATTTATGAATTATAGTTGCATACTGGTTTTCTTGACATGTGTGCACTGTATTTATAGTTAAACATTATTAATTTGGTATGAAGGGTTTGACCCATACTAGCATGTGAGAAGTTCCTGTACAAAAAGTAATTAAAACTAATTTTTAATATGCTCATTCACTAAAAAATTGATTGTTACACATCATATTTGGCTTGTAACACAAATCATGGAAATCCCAATATGTTATAGATATAGAATATCAGTTAGTTCTGAGTTCTTATATGGAGTACTGAAACTAGTCTACCCATTATTTTGTTTACAAAGAAGTAGTTCCCATACATAAAAATAACCCATACAATATTTTTATATATCCAATATTTTTCATATGTGTTAAATAGAATAAGAATGCTAAAGGTATCTCCCATTAACGGGTGAAACAGGAAGATATTTTTCTTGAAGTATTATAATAGTTTTGTTAATAAATAATTGTAATTGCAAAGGCATAGCTTCATTCTTTTTCACTATTACATATTTAAATATGTATATAACTTTATGAATCTCAATTTCAAAATGATTAAATAGCCAAGTTGGTAAGGACACAGACGTGAAAACTGGCAGTATGCGCTGTCAGCTGTAAATGAGTTAAAATGGATATCTTATTTCTGCTTTAAGGTACTAAGTAATCTCACAGAAGAGAATGGACAGATCACCACACCACTTATTATTGCAGCCAGAAATGGTGAAGAAAAAGTTGTTCAAGTGTTGCTTAGCAACTTTGAAGCAAATATTGAACAGACAGGTAATACAGGAAATTTTATGTCAGAAAAAAAATCATTTCTGTTTTTGGTCCCCTATCTACACTCTTTTTTTAACTGCTGGCCCTAAACACACTCTTTTTTAGCTCGACTATTCGATAAGAATAAGTAGAGCTATTGCAGTCACCCGAGCGTCGGCGTCAGTGTCGGCGTCTGCGTCGGCGTAACTACTTATGTTAAAGTTTTTGTAATAGTTCAACTATTTTCAAAGTCCATTGACATATGGCTTTAAAACTTTGCACACTTGTTCACCATCATGACCATAACCTGTAGACAGGAGGAGGTAACTCTATCAAGCATTTTGACAGAATTATGCCCCTTTTTCGACTTAGAATTTATGTTAAAGTTTTTGTAATAGTTCAAATATTTTCAAAGTCCATTGACATATGGCTTTGAAACTTTGCACACTTGTTCACCATCATGACCCCAACCTGTAGACAGGAGGAGGTAACTCTATCAAGCATTTTGACAGAATTATGCCCCTTTTTCGACTTAGAATTTATGTTAAAGTTTTTGTAATACCTTAAATATTTTCCAAGTCCATTGACATATGGCTTTGAAACTTTGCACACTTGTTCACCATCATGACCCCAACTTGTAGACAGGAGGAGGTAACTCTATCAAGCATTTTGACAGAATTATGCCCCTTTTTCGACTTAGAATTTATGTTAAAGTTTTTGTAATACCTCAAATATTTTCAAAGTTCATTGACATATGGCTTTGAAACATTGCACACTTGTTCACCATCATTACCCCAACCTGTAAACAGGAGGTGGTAACTGTATCAAGCATTTTTTTTTACTATCAAGCACTAAGAATAGTCGAGCGTTGCTGTCCTACCGACAGCTCTTGTTTTAACTGCTGGCCTGAAACAGTTTTTCTGCCTTTTCACTTTCTAATAATCCTGTTAATATACAATCATAAAATCTTCTGATTATACAATTTGACATGTATAAAATCATATAGAAAGAATATGCACACATATATATATATATATATATATATATAAAAGAGATACCTACCTCGCTTTCTTTTGGGTTGAACAACAAAAACATATGTTTACTTACTGAATGAAAGTTTTTTCATTTTTCCCAAATTTCAAAGATTACCAGGTTGAAGTTTCTCAATGTGAAAGGCATGGGCTGTAAAGATTTAGAAAATCATTGCCTGCCTTAACTTATTTTTACAACACCTATGTCCTTCCAGTATAATGTATGTGTATAGTTCTGAATGTTTATAAGTCATATAACAGAGAAGATCCAAAGTTTTGTGCGTACATTATACCAACTAAATATCTCTAATTACTCTAAAGTTTATTTTGTCAAATTTCAGGCACGGTCCGGTTTGATGGGTATGCCATCGAAGGAGCTACACCACTGTGGTGTTCAGCTGGGGCAGGCCACTATAATATTATTAAAATGCTCATAGAGCATGGAGCAGACGTCAACCATTCAACTGTTACCAACTCAACCCCTCTCAGAGCAGCATGTTTCGACGGGAGATTAGACATCGTGAAATACCTCCTAGAACACGGTGCTGATTTGTCTATTGCCAATAAGTTTAAGAACACATGTCTAATGATAGCAAGCTATAAGGGTCATAAGAGCGTGGTTGAAGTATTACTGGAGAAGGGGGCTGATGCCGATGCGAGAGCACATTGTGGGGCGACCGCTCTTCATTTCTCTGCTGAGTGCGGACATGTTGACATTGTTAAAGTTCTCATGGAGAAAGGCGCTAGCATTCTGAAAAACGACAAAGACATGACACCGTTGCTCGTAGCAGCGGAATGTGTACAGGCTGAGGTTGTTGAATATTTGATTTCATCGGACATTTGCAGTAAAGTTGATAAGATAAATGCCCTTGAGCTGCTTGGAGCCTCGTTTGCCAATGATAAAGAACAGTATGACATTGAAAATGCCTACAAGTATATGCGTAGGGGTATATGTGAAAGGTTTAAAAATCCTGAAAATATTGTAAGAAAAAATTTAGACGACCCAGTCCCGGCATATAACAATCAAGTAGAATGTAAAACTTTACAGGAGATAGATGCAATTAAAATAAACCATTCAGCTCTTCATATGGAAGGGCTTGCAATAAGGGAGAGAATTCTTGGAAAAGATAACCCTGAAGTTCCACATCCTGTTATATTCAGAGGTGCAGTGTTCGCAGATGGAGCAAGATTTGACAGATGTATAGAACTCTGGCTTCATGCAATGCAACTGCGGCAAAATAAATATAGGTCAGTCTCGAAAGATTTGCTTCGGTTTGCGCAGGTTTTCTCACAAATGGTTCATCTTGGTGTCAATCCAGAGTTTAAATCAGTCAGAGAGGTGTTTGTTCGAGGCACGGCGGAGCTGATATATGACGTGCGACGTAGAGAGGAAAGCCCCAGTGATTATGATAATTTACAAGAGGTTTATGAAGAAAACATTCACACGTTACTGTATCTGATTGTGATTATTTTGAAACTTAAAATTCCTGATACGGAACAAGAAGACTTTTACCGATGTGTTTACCGATTCCTTCAACAAAAACCGGAGCTCAGAAACGGATACACATTACTTCACATGGTAACAGACGGTGCTACCATTGTGGATGATTTTCACGTAAATGACATTGTCACATTTCCAAACGGACCACTGTGTAAGCTACTCATCGATTGCGGCGCCAACGTGAATGCGCAGGACAAACTAGGAAACACTCCCCTCCATATAATAGTGCAATACAATAATCCAATTAGTGATTTTGAAAATCTTCACCTGTCAATGATCTCTCTTATCAAGGCCAAAGCTCATCTAGATATTTGTAATCGTGACCATAAAACAGCAATGGATGCATCAGTAACTGGGGTTGCCGAGGTGATTATCAAAACAAACAGTTCAATTTCTCTGAAATGCTTGGCCTCCAAGGTCATTAAGGAGCACAATATCCCTTTTAAAGGCTTAATTCCAATGGGACTTGAAGATTTTATAGAGTGGCATTGATACATCAATGTGACTCAGTAACGGAGAAAAGCTCAGTACTTCAGAAAAGTTAAAACAGAAGTTTTGATGTAAAACAGTTGTAGCATTATTATAGAGAAACAACTGTTTTTTTTCCATCAACGTCTCGGAATATTCTTTACTGCTGTGATTATTGTGATGCTTCTTAGAAGTGATATTTGTGATAGGGCAAGATAATTTTGTTATGTAATTACTGTATGTATGCCTGTATTGTACAGTGTTGTTTTTGTATGTGCGGAGACGGTGTTTTGCTGAATGTTAGTCATTATGTATGACGGTTAGATATTGATACATGTATAATGTGAACATCACCCTCATTTCTGTATTTTCATTGTTATAATAGTTGGTATTAGTTACCTTTGTGATAAACTGTTGTACTTGTTTCTTTCTATATAATTAGTTACAAAAGTCTCAGACACTGATAGTTACATGTATGCTTGACCAATGTTTTAATTTGAGCCGCGTCATGACAAAACCAACATAATGGGTTTGCGACCAGCATGGATCCAGACCAGCCTGCGCATCCGCGCAGTCTGATCAGGATCCATGCTGTTCCCTTACCTACTCTATTACAAGTAGAGAAACTGATAGCGAACAGCATGGATCCTGATCAGACTGCGCGGATGCGCAAGCTGGTCTGGATCCATGCTGGTCGCAAACCCATTGTGTTGGTTTTGTCATGACGAGGCTCATTTATTTGACTTGCTGTAGGTCTGAAACAGTTCAGATAAATAACTGATATGATGATTACGTCTGATGATTAAATATAGAGATATTAGAAATACATAAGTTCTTAATACATGTTGACTACACTTGTGACATCTTTGTGAAATATATAGAGGATATTTGTTTGTTTTGCATGTAAGATTGAAATATATTTCACTGAGTGAACACTAGATGCAATATTTCACGAGTGGCGTAGCCACGAGTGAAAATAGAATAGCTGGTGTTCACGAATGAAATATATTTCAATCTTATATGTAAAACAAATAAATTTTCATTTTATTTCATGCTTTTTTAAGTGATTTAAAATATTCTTTAATGATTTTGACGCGTAACATCGCGCATTCAACTTGGTGACGTCACCAAATCATGACGTCACATCATCAATTTTGAAATATAGTTCTGTTAATTTTTTCTAATTTTGTAAAATATTTAACATGGTGTATGGTGACATCGACTTTCTTTTCCTAAAGAAGCAACATTTACTTATGACGGCATTTATTTCTGCCTGTTATTCCATTTATTTCTGGTTTTGTTTTCATCCGCATTCAAATAAAGTACAGCTACAGTGAAAATTATATTTTATAAATTTCACTAGTGGTTTATCAGAATATAATCATTTGATATATTCCAGTAAAACACCGGAAAGCATGAAATAAAATTATATAATTTTTCATTAGTTGGTGCTAATTATTCATATAATAAAGTGACTATTTTAATTGTGATTTCTTTTTCTATAAACCTGAAATTCTGTAAAGTTTAGGATTTTTTAGCCAACATTAAACCTTGACATGTAATTAAAACATTAAATATCTGTGATAGAGAAAATACTCTGCTGCTGCATATTAAGAATGAAAGAATATAAATGTTGATGATTATCTCCCTTTAGTTCTTTATGTAAAACTTTCACCCTATATTTTACAAAGTATGGCATTAAGCTTTTGAAATACCATTGTTATCTACATTATTTTAATTAAATTACTTTTTACTGACTGTTGAGTGATATATTTCAATTATAAAAGTACTTTTGTCCTAAAAAGGTTTACAATCATGTTTAAATAGTGAGATCTGGTTTATATCATTCACGGTGTAGCAGTTGTTTTAAAATTTCCTGTGATGCAGTCTAAATCTTTGTATAAAGTGATTGTTGTTACATTTATTTTTGTTAGTTGGGCATTAAATTTCTTACTTTCCAATTAAGTGTAGATTAAAATTTCTTGCTTCCCAATTAAGTGAAGCTCAAAATTGTTTACTTCCCAATTAAGTGTAACTTCAAATTCTTGCTTCCGTATTAAGTGTAGCTTAAATATTTTTTCTTCCTAATTAAGTGTAGCTTTTTTTTTTAAATTTCAAATGGGATACATTGTACGACTAAAATCAGATACATATAATATACATTACTATGCTTTTTATTATTACATATAGAGTTGTGTACAATATGTATATTTGTAAGGTCACTTTTCATTGGATTATTGTGATGTTTATATAATCTATAAACAAGGCTGCTGCCAATTTATGAAGTAATTTTCATTTTTTTTCTCAAAGTCAGTCATTCTGCTATAATATGAATTTGTTATATAGATATTTGGTGAGTTATATGGCCATTTATATATGGTTGTTTGCAATATAACCTGAGCTGTTTGGCAAGGGTTATATTGCAAACAAATGTTATATAGTGGGTCAGGTTATATAAGCATATAAGTAATAATGCATACATGTAAGTATGATTTTAGTGAAATAGACCATATGGCATTATGAAGAGTGAGGATTTTTAAATGTTTTTAAGAGTGGAAAGTGCAAGTGGTAATATGAAAGAAATTCACACTTTGAAGTGAGATAAAAGCCCATATTCACTATAGAAAGAAGCTAAATTTTGTTCTTATTCATGCAACATTATATAGTTTGTCCATTTAACTAGTCAGATGTTATCACAATAGATGTCAAAAAGTCCTTGATGTCATTAAATCTTTATCTGGTATGTTTTCTTACATCTTTGAATGTAACTGTGTGATATAATTTATATCTCATTGATATTTCAATACTTCATTTAGGAACTTATGATGAATATGTATATGCTGTATATGTTTCAATGAAAAATTAACAATTTTTTTTTTTGTTTTCAATTTTTCAAATACATGTAGTTGTTATTTCCCTTAAGACAATGAGAACTTTATTATGTAAATTTTTCTCTCCAGTTTTTAAAACAGTTGTTATTTACAGTATAGAGAGTGGTTGGCTAATGGTAAATGTCTCTGAACCCAGTGATTGTGGGTTTGAGCGCTACAGGGTCATAGCCATATTTAGCTGCAGTGATTAGTTTCTTGAGTGGTTCAAACAAGCTTCCAAGCTGTGGTGGTGGTGTTAGTAGTTTTCACTCCAGATCACGGCAGTTAGCCACACTGAACTTTCACTCCGGATCACTGCAGTTAGCCACACTGAACTTTCACTCCGGATCACGGCAGTTAGCCACACTGAACTTTCACTCCGGATCACTGCAGTTAGCCACACTGAACTTTCACTCCGGATCACGGCAGTTAGCCACACTGAATTGAGTACATTGAGTATAGTTCTGTCACCTCATCACTCCTGGGCAGGCCTTCACTTTCACAAGGCATTAATAACTTGTACATGCCAGAGCACAGTGGTACTGTGCGAATGACCAGAAAAACAATTTCATGATCAATCATAACAAAAGTGACCTGCACCGTCCGGGAATTGAACCAAGATGGGCCGATTCATAGTCCAATGCTATACCTGTTGAGCTAACCAAACTGTACGCTTCCAAGCTTTTTCCACAATCAGACAATATATGGGGCTTCCAGGGCAGATTGGTTGAAGGGTATAAAACTATATCTAATGATTTTTTTTTTTTGTAAACATGATGTTGGTACCATAGTTTTATGATTGATTTGCGAAAGAGTTATTACATTACTTCAAAATCAAGATGAAATAAATATATTTGTATTAAGCAGATATTAATAATATCTATTGAATTACAAATTACATAGAGATTTAAAAATATCTCCATGATATGTGTTATGGTTTTATCTATTAGCGTTTTGATTTAGGTTAACTAAAAATCTGATTCATATTTCGAGTATATGCCTTTGATATATTTTTTAAGTTATGAATAATTAATTTTAACTTTATATGTAAAGGAAATCTTCTGGCCTACATAGATTATACTTTGATAAATTCAAAGCTTATTTATAATGTTTTTTATAAACTTTCCTTAGTCTAACATTGAATTCAATTTTGTTTTATTTGTGAATTTTGATTTATATAATTAGATTGATTTGTGATGTTTGTTGATACTGGAGAAAATGAGAGGGTAAAGGGCAAGATATCTCGAGTTATTCATATATACAAAAGGATAAGAGCCGCTCA